AGGAGGAGGAGGAGGAGGGAGGGAGTAGGAGGAGGAGGATCGGGGAAGAGCAGGATCGGCGAGAGGAGGAGGAGGAGGAGGAGGAGGAGGAGGGGAGGAGGAGGAGGAGGAGGAGGAGGAGGAGGAGGAGGAGGAGGAGGAGGAGGAGGAGGAGGAGGAGGGGGAGGAGGACGACGAGGAGGAGCAGGAGGAGGAGGAGGAGGAGGAGGAAGGAGGAAGAGGAGGAGGAGGAAAGGGTCCAGACCTCCGGAAGGTCCACGTTGCCGTATAACAAAAAAACACGGCGTCGGAGTTCCTGGAAGTAGAGGGGGGATCAGAGCGGCAACCGAGGGGTGCGGGCTCGCGGTACCTCTGAAACAGGGCTGGACCTAAACGTTGTGCTTGTTTTGTTGCTGTTTTTGTCTTGTTTGTCGTTTTGCTCTACCTGTGTTCCTGTACCTCCCTGCCAAAACGAAACACAAAACACAGCCGAAGTCCAGCACAACAACGTTTTGGTCCAGCCCTGACCTGAAACCCTAAACCCGTCAAGTCCGACCTTTTTTTCCGCTGCGCCAGATCTCTTTCGGCTCGCGAAGTCGGGTATCCAACTGGACCTTGATCCCTTAAATAGAAAAGAAGCAGATCCACCATAAACATGCATTTTTGGCGCTCCGTGCGGGTTTCTTGGATCTGGCCCGGACCCCCCTTCCTGGCGCGCGGAGCGCGGCAGGGGCGGGTACAAGAAATCCGCGCGGAGCGCCAAAAGCTTATGTTTATGGAGTTGTTTTTCGATTAAAAACATTTGCAGTGCTTAGCTGGTCGTTCACTGCACACAGGGCAAGCGGGACGCACAGGACCAACAAGCGCTAGGCGACGACGATAAGGCGGACGACGCCGAGGAAGGAGGATGGCGACGACGACGACGATCAGAGGAAAGAGAAGAATAATTGAATAGTTCCCCAAATGAGTAACTGCAGACGGGGGACATGGGGGAGGGAGAAGGTACAGTCGGGGCGGTGACCTAAGGAACCCTAGATACGGAACGAGGCCCCTTTTTGTTCCATACGTTCAACTTCGATTTCCCATGAAAGACTTGAGGAAAACCCGAGGCCAACTGTACAACAATCAAGGAGCACCGAGCCCCTCCCCAACGAGAGGGGGTCCTTCATCGCCCCGACTGCATAGACGGAGGACCGGGAGAGAGGAACGAGCCAGGGACGAAGCCGAGCGGAACGAACGCCGGAGCTGCGCCAGGGGAGGCTGGGGAGGCCGCCCTGCCCGGCGAGGCCGCCCTGCCTGGGGAGGCCGCCCGTTCCTTAAGGAACCCTAGGTAAGGAGCGAGGCTCCGCTTTTCCAGAAGTGGAACTTCGGCTTCCCATGGGAAGCTCAGGAAGACCGAAGGCAAACTGTAAAGCACTCGAGGAACACCGAGCCCCTCCCCAACGAGAAGAGTTCCTTCTTCAACGTCCCGACTGTAAACCCCATCTTTCTGCTGCACTGGTCGAGCCGCACCGATCCGTGATGGTCCCAGGGCCCAAACCTGGGCGAGCACGCCTGGTGTGAAAGGTTCGCAACGCCTGGATCTCAGGGAGAGGGCATGGCGTGAATGCCGTGGCATCAGAGATGCGATACGCTGGCGGACCCACGCGGAAGAGAGGATCTTCAGACGCTGGCAGTGTTCGAGGGAGAAAAACACATCATATCCATATCTACAGCCTCGTGGGCCAGGCCACTGGGCCGCGACACTGCGGATATGGGGCGTTTTTCGCGGATGCCTCGCCCCCCCCTGCCCCCCTCGGCACCAGCTTGGAGTTTCTCGAAAGAACTGGTGTGCCGTAGAAGGCATTTCGAGGAGACGCCCTCGCGACCGCCAGCCTCTCCGCGGGACAGCGCCCCAGAGTCTAAAGGTCACGAGAGCGCGGATACGGTACATGTTGTTGGCCGCTCGTGACATATCGCACTGCGAGCCCTCTGTGGGCAGCACCAGCACCGATATTCGGCGGCGAGCGAGCGGGGGAGCGAGAAGGAGGAGGCCTTCCCAGAAGCCGGCGGGGCTTCTCAGAAACCCTCGGGCCTTCTGAGGAATGTTATGCGTCTTCGGGAAAGGCTTCGACAATGTCTCGGAAGGCTGGAGGCCTTTCGAACCTTCTGGAAAGGCCCCAACTCATAAAAGGGTTACACATGCCCCAATTTGCTCAGGGGGATTAGACAACTCCGCTAAGCGGGTGGAGCCCACTTAGCCTGGATCGCTATCCCCCCCAAGTCGCTTGGGCCAGTAGCAACAAACAAATGAGCCAGGTTAAGCCAAAGATTACCCACCTTGGCATCCACTCATAGCCCCCCTATCCTCTTAGCAACCCCCGCGCCCATCCCAGTGGGAAGTGATCGAGAGGTCGGAGGCCCATGTCTCCACAAACAACTCGCGACGTGGCTGGGGGGGGGGGGGGGCGCGCAGGCAGAGGCGGGGGGCGGCACTCGCGGTCCGCGATGGCAGACAGGTCGATGGTGTTCATGAGCTGCCCCACCATGTCCGCGGACATGGACACCACCTTGCCCAAGGGCGGGCGGAAAGGTGGGGCAGGGGGCCGAGGTGGGGCAGGGGTAGTTATACCGCCGCCTCCTCTCACGACGGAGGGTTCTTGGCAACTTTCAATCTCCGGGAGCCTTCACACGGGGCCCCGGGGGCCTGGGGAAGTCCACACCTCCAGGGGGCCGCGCTGCGAAAACGAAGCACGACGTCGGAGAGCTTGGGCAGGGGCAGGGGGTGGGGCAAGGGCAGAGGTGGGCTCCAAGGAGAACCGGCCCAGGTGGCCCGCGGAAGTGGGGAGCCGCTCCAGGAAGGGTCGCAGAGATAGCAACTTCGGGGGCTCGTATTTGTTTTGAAGAGCTGGGCCCGATCATCGGAACAACCGCCTTCTTGCCGCCGTCGCTGCCCCGTCGCTCCCCCGTAGAATCTGAACACGGGCGGGTTCCGGGTTCCGGGGCCCGCAGATCCGACTACGTCCGGCTCTCCGTTTGAATTGAATAATAGGATACTGAAAAAAACGGTGTTGAATCAGATCCGCCGTTCAAAATAGGCCAGATTCGGATCCAGGAAATCCGAGATCGGATCCGCGCCGACGGAAATCGGATCCACCGAAACAAACCAGACACCTCAAGTGGATCTGCTCGACCTTCATGGTGTCCGACGGCGGTTATCTCAAACGCGTTCGCTCAAGACTTCAAACCGTCGCTCTGAGCCTAAGAAGAAACACTGTTCGTCCTGGGGATGTATGCGCGCATTTTCGTTTATTACATCCGCTGGCCCTATCACCGTGTGACAAGGGCTGCTCCGTCGCCATCGCCGTCGCTGCCGCCGTTGCGTCGCCGCCGCCTTCCCCTGAGTCCGTCGCCGCTCCCCCCCGTTCCTTGGGCCCTCGTCCTCAAGCACGCGAGCCAAAGCAACGTACACCAGCCCATCCACAGCGACATTCAGAGACGTTGTCATTGAGTCGAAGGGAAGCCCCTTCCCTGTGATCCCTTCCTCGCGGAAGGGGGGGGAGGTCCCGGGAGCTGGTCCCGGGAGGGGGCCGGGGGGGCCCAGGGGGTGGTCGGGGGAGGTGGTCCCAGGGGGTGGTGCCGGGTCAGAATACCACCCTCCTGGGGGGTGTCGGGAACGCGTCGAGAGCCGAAGCCTCCAGGGTCGGCGGCACCGGCCGTAAGGCCTTAGCAATACCATCCGTTTCCAAATTCACGTTGCTTGTAAAGGCGCTTGCATGCCGAAATCTTCCAAACACTGTATGAGGTTCCGTAATGAATTCAGAACCGAGGTTCCCGAAGACATTCCTCTTCCTATATCTTTATAAGCCCGGGCGCCCCTCCCCCCAAAAAAACCGGACTCCCCGGATCTGGGGATTTGGGACCCTCCGGACGGGCCTCGAAGCGCCCCCCCCAGGCCTCGCAGGGCATTTTGCCAAGCATTCCCAGCACCACCTAGGGCGATCAGGGGGGTCATCGGAGACGCCCCAGAGACCCCCAAGACAGCACAAGAGCGCTCCAAGAGTGACCGACGTGACCTCAAGATGGCCCAAGAGGCCTCCAGGACGGCCCCAAAGGCTTCAAAAAGCCTCCAAGAGCACTCCCATGAAGGCCCCAAGAGGCAACAATCATTGATTTTCTGTTGGTTGTTTGTTAATTTGGAGGTTTTCCTCCTTTCGGCTTCCCGACGCTCCAATACGGCAGTCTCCTGGGCGTCCGAAGCAGCCTGGGAGGCTCCAAAAAAACTCCACAAACATCTGAAAGGGCCTCCAAGCAGTCCAAGAGCCCCAAAACGGCACAACAGGGGCCAAATGGCCCTAAGAGAGTCCCATGGCGACCCCAAAAAGCCCCAACACACCCTCCGAAGCATTCCAAATCGTGACCCGGTCGTTCAAGGAGACCGCGGATGGAGGCAGGGTGGCCCGAGGAAGCCCCCAGAACTTCCAGAACACGCCGAGGAGGTCTCCAGAAGGCCTTAAGAAAGCCTGAAACTTTGCGAGGCTTCCAGAGGTTCTCCAAGGAGGAGCCTCCGCACAAAGAGCTGAGGAGGATGGGGGAAATGCGCCAGGTATGGCGATCATAAATTAACAGAAACATGGAGGAAGGAGAACGAACAACATCATGTTAGCGGCGATGCTGAAAAAGGCGACAAGGAATTAGTGCTAAATCGTCGGCCATTTCGCCTGCATACCAAACTTCATTGACCAAGGTGCATGGCGCGAGGCGCCACTGCAGTCTTGTATGTATATGGCCCTCTATTTTTCTCCAGCACAAGCTTGAGAGGGCGCTGGGGCGAGGCATCGGCAACAGTGACAACAGAACGCAGCAGCATCGAACAAGTAAAAAACTCTGGGCCTGTTAAATTCTGAATTCGTGTGGGAATGAAAAGCGGAAGAGCAGAGAAGGGAGGGGGGGTCGGGCGGCTCGCGCAGCTGATTAGAGCCAACGGTTGCGGATCACCAAATTGACAGGCCAACCCGATAAACTATCTCCAAGGCCCTCTATTTTTCTCCAGCACAAGCTTGAGAGGGCGCTGGGGCGAGGCATCGGCAACAGTGACAACAGAACGCAGCAGCATCGAACAAGTAAAAAACTCTGGGCCATATTCACGTCCAGATTCATTAGTGTACTGGTAATACCGCCTAGCATTTACAAATGTCCCACAACCGAGAGAGCCTTCGACTATTTGACGCATCTACCAGGGACTTGGCAAGGGTCTTGCACAGCGCCTTGGGGCAAGGCTGTGCTACTGCAGTCCAAAACTGGCCACCGGGGGCCTTGCCCTCTAACACTTGGCGAGGCCTCTGGGGCCTCTCACACATGCCTTTACCGTGGCACTTTCTCCCAAGAAGCTCCGGAGAAACGTGCCAGAGGCGAAGCCGCGTTCGTTTGCGCCACGGCTCACCCCACATACAAAAGTCTGCGAAAAACATCGTGAACATTGAGGAGCCTACCAAGACCTAGCACAGGCGGACACAGCCAAAGACGAGAAAAAGCGGGATTCTCGAGCCCTCCAGGGATCCCTCTGGTGCGAGCTAGCTTAGCAAGCACGACAGAGACACGCATCAAACGGTTTCCCAACTGCACTCTCTTTTGATCGGGACCGGAGAGGCCAGGCAGTCCAAGAGGAAACTCTTTGGACCTCAAGGGTCCTGGCCCAGACTTGGCGTGCCTACGGGCCAACGAAATGGAAGTGCATGGAGTACCTAACCACAATATGCTCACCTCACCACTGAGAGTCCAACCTTTCAGAACTTCGACACTGGACGCCTTGGTGAGATCAAACTGTGCTCCTCGAATGATGTCCCACTCGACCGTGGGGGCGCCTTTGTCACGAAGCGCCGAGGCGAGACGGCCTGACCCAGCGAAGACCTCGACGGCGACCCTATCTCGCCCCAGGCGCACTCTGTGGAGCGTCGCGGTGAGCAGCTGGCGAACCGCGGCGGCAGTCTCTGCCGGCTGAGTCGCAGCCGCTCCTGCGCCACGGGCGGCACCTGCGCCACTTGCAGCGCCAGGCGGCCGTGCGTCTCGTACCTCCGCACGGACAGGCGGGCTAGCCCCCTGCCTCTCTTGGCCACCTCCTCGAGCGACCTCCTTCCCACGATTCGATCGTGGCTTTCTCCTCCGTGCCATAGGCCGCACAGCGTGGCACCGGTGCTCTGAAGACCCAGCACCGCCAGCGCGCTCTCGAGCTCCTCGCGCAGCTGCACGTAGCCGAAACTCCACAGCGGCCCGCGGAGCTCCCACCGCGCCTTCAGATCCCTGAGCACGGGGGTAGGCCAATGGAGCTCGGGCACCTCCAGCGGCAGCGAGTCGTCTAGCTCGACAGTCTTGCTGGGCACCAGCAGCTCCTCTGGACGAAGCACCAGCGTTCACACGTGAAACCCGCCCTGCAGCCCGGCCGCAGGCGGCACCAGCTGAAACGCCTTCATCGCCAGGAGCTCTCCGGGCCGAGCGTAACCGTGGAACATGAGGCCAAGAGCACACGCCATCGCCACCTCCCGCTTCAGCAGCAGGAGCTCCAGCACGCCGGAGAGCACCAGTCCGGGGAGCGGCGGGCGAGAGTGGCCAGGCCGCTTGCGCTTCCAGCCCAGCGGCGCCCGGCCGCTCCTCGGCAACGCCACCCGCAGGGGCCGCCCCAGCGCTGGTCGCGCCCAGAGCACCGCCGACAACATCTTCGCAGCCCTGTTCGGCCGCACTCCCTGCGCGAACTCGTCGTTCAGGTACTGCAGCAGTGCGTCGACCCACTCCAGCGCGATCCAGCTGGGCAGCGTCTCCACTCCGAGACAGCTGCAGAGGCCCCTGAGGCACTTCAGGTAGCTCTGCTGGGTAGAGGGCCCCATCGCCTCCAACTACAGTCCTGACGCGCTCGAGCCCAGGAGGCGGTGCCACGGCAAGGCCGTCGCGGGTCGCGGCAGCGGGCCGGAGACGTCTGACACTGGCCCTCGCCCGAGCCGAGAGCGCGCGGCCCGGCGAGCCCAGGAGGCGCTTCCGCCCAAGGCCGCTCGCCGGCGCCCTCGGAGCACGCAGCGGCTGCGCACTCAATGCGGCCGCCACGAGCCGACGGCGCTCCAGCGCCCAGCAACCGGCGGGGCTCGAACCGTCTCGAAGGACCGTCGGCGGGGTTCCACTCTGAAGGGATCCATCGCACTGACACACGACAAGACGATGCGAGCTGAAGAGCGGTGAAGTGTCTCGACTGAGCGAGGATGGGAAAGTCCGAGGCTCTTCCTTTTGCAACTGCACAGCAAATACACATGCTGTCTGACAAAAATAGAAGCCTGCACCCATGATGCGCCACTCGCCGCACCTGCCGTCGCATGGCCCATAGCAGCGCCTCGCCCTCCAGAAGATGGATGGGGGCACGATGACGCCACCGTCTCGAGGCCACGGTCTTCCACGAGGCGGCCTTGCAGAAGTCAGACGGCACGTCGGGGAACGGAGAGTCGCCGACGGCGCCTTCACGCAAGGCGCGTGCACGCGAGCCTTCGGCCACCAGCTCGCTCTCCTTGAACCTCCAGCGCTCTCTAAC